GTTAATTATCATTTTTAGCAAAAATAAAATTCTAATTTGCAATTATATAATACCAGGATCTTTAGCTAAAATTCTTTTTAAAAACTGCATGTATCAGAATGTAAATTATTCACAAATGTTCTTATTATTTGCACTGGTTTATCTGCAGATAGGTAACAGTTTCTACTTGGTCTCATATTCCTTTGTACATGTATATCAAAACAGTTTGTTGCCTGCTGTGGAAGACATTCTCTCAGGCAAGGCATTATTTTTTATTAATTTACATGAGCAACTTTTCATGGAAACATTAAATTTTGTTAGATTTTGACATTTATTTTTAAGAGGTGAATAGTTTTAATTGTGATGTAGGACCTGAGAAGGTGCTGTTACCTTGACTTGCCAGTTGTCCATCCTGCACATGTAAGCTCCTTGCAGCCAAAATGGCTGAGCTTTCTGGGGCAGTCCACATCAGAGAAATGTTTTTCCATTCTCACAGGAAATAAGGGCAAAAAACCATTGGGCAATGTGGAGGGGAGTGTTTTGGAAACTGAGGAGGGAGTCGGGAGAAAATATGAAGGTGCTGCATTAAGGAAGGGGATCCAGGGAACACTGCAGTAGGGGGAAGGGAAGAAGAGGATGCCAGATTGAGTGGCTGAGCACTACTGCGGTAAAGAAAGATGGACAGAGAGTGCAGCCAGGGATATTAGATTAGGAAAGAGGATTCAGGCTGATATTTTGAATTTCTGTTTTACGTACAGGCAGAATTCTTGGCCAAGCATTTAATTTAAGCATTTTTAACTCCCAGAAGGGACTCTTTATTTGCCATATCATAGGCATCAATGTACAAATAATACAATTTTTTTGGTGTTTTTTAGAAAGTCATATGAATGTCAGACACCCATCTTTAATACAACAAAATTGTAGTCTGCTATCTGGTCCTGGAGAAGTGGTACAAACAGAAAGTTTGGGTTGTGCTGGGTTGCTGCAGGACAGGGACTTCCTCTGCACTGTCACTGCCTTTGAAGAGAAGTGGTTGTATGTCACTTGAGACAATTATTTTGCTTTCCAACTGTGTGAAGTCACCACTTCCTAATAACATCCAACATTTTTTGCTTAAGAAGCCCTCAGTCTTTTTGACTATGCCTATTTATAAAACCTGCTGTTAGGAAAATTTGATTGGGCCATACTACTGATCTGGTAATGTATGTACTACTTCTTTTATTCAGATGCAATGTTTGAATACCCCTGACCTGTTTTTTTTGGTCAGAATTATGTTTAAATACCTAGATAAAGTCTAAAATCTGGTATTATCAGAAAAATAATTTATTTTAATGATTATAAATAATCAAATATTTCATATGATTAAATAAATAATTTTTGATAAGAAATATTAAACAGCTTATTGAGCAAAAGAAAAATATAGCAGAAATTATCATTATTGTTAGTATTTGTAATTTAAAAATTGGTTTCTGGCTTCCTAAAGATGCTTATAAATTAATTAAGTCCTACTATGAATATGGAAAAAAAGGCTTTTTAAGTGAGCTCTGTGATTAAAGTGTCCTATAAAGAAATAATAATATGCTTTGCTTTTGAACTTAAGACCAAAGTTATATTCAATATTTACTTAGATCCATAGATCCTAATTACAGTTGTGCCTATCTTGCTCAAGGTTTTAGCGTGGTACATGCATTACTTTCTGATAGAAATAAGGTAGCTCAATATTTGATTACTGGAGGATGTACTGGAATATGGTAACCACCTTTTTTGACTTCACCAGCGGGTATAATGCATTTAAGTTGAGTGGAAATGGCAAAACTTTGTTTTTCCCCAGCAATCTCACTGGAATTTTCTCCCAACAAGCAAGTCTGGAAAGTAATATGCTGATTCTGTAACAAAAAGTTGTAAAAGAATCAAAAATTTAAGAGTATCTTCCCACAGGGGTGTTATGTCCCTTAAGAAAATCTAAACATTGTACTAGAGCATTCCTCCCCTCAAAAAGTCTCAGCTGACACAAATGTAGGACTACATAGCTGAGAGAGGCTGGAGAAGCCATGAGTTCTAGTTTTTGAGATGAGACTGCAGAGTTTAAGGTAGAGGCAATATAATGCTGCCTCTTGGCATCTCTGCAGAATGCTTTGTTCATATGGCCCCCAAAGCCTGAAGACAAATTTAACTGTTGACCAAAAAAAGTGTCTAAATACTCTTGGAGAACTTACTTCTCTAGCTGAGATTCCCAGAGTTTCCAAACCAGAAGGTTTCATGACTGCTGATAAAGGATCAGAATTTCTTCTTGACATTGTATTTTTGAAATCTACAAATGGCTGGGAAAATCAGGCTTCCTACCTGTAGGAATGCCCCTTGTATGCTTCTGGAAAAAGGAGCCTTTTCTTAACTCTTGAATACATTCTTTGGTAAGTAATAAACATGCATTGTATTTCTCTTGGCTTGTTAGGGAATAAATAAGACACTAATTAAAACCTTGAAACACTTTTCCAAACCTCCTCCCACAGCAATATCCAGATTCATACAAATTTGTATGAGTCAGACAAACGTTTGATGAGATTCAAATCAACACACAGCATTTTGTTTTTCTGCAACTTGAAGCAATTACAAACTACAGTTGGATTTTTTCCAATTAGAAAATATGAAACATAGTCTTACTATTTTAATAAAGCAGAGTGTTTGAATCAAAACTATGAACTATAAATTAATGAGTGCCTTCTAAACTCTGGACATGTGTGGAACCGAAAGAGGTCTATTACAGAAGTTGAAAATCTATATTTAATGAATACACCCACTACATCTATTAAATTGGCAAGATAATAAGTGTGCAGCTCTCTCTTTTACTTCAGAACAACACATTCAACATAGTCATTAGCTGAGAATTTTACCAGACATTGCAAATACACTTCAGCTGCACTTTTCAATTACTTTTGGACTCTGTATGGCTGTGTAAGTATCACAATCTGGTCTGAGTGCTCATCTTGCATTGCTTGTACATTTTTAGTGCCTACTCTTGTGGCTTGAACAGTTATGGCTGCAAAAGTTATAGTGGTGGGTATTTGGTGACTTATCAACTTTGGCGTAATTCCTTTCTCATGTCATTTAGCTTTGTCCTGGAAAATGCATAAACATGTGACATTTCCAGTCTTCAAATGTCACATCATGTAAGGGAAGAAACTGTTTGGCATTGGTCTTGGCATAGGTCTTGGTTTTGGCATAGATCCATCCTAACAGTGGGATAAAAAAACCTCTCTTACTATTTTTGAGTGCCATGGCGTTTCTAAGGTTTCCACTACTGTCTCTGCCCAGTCTTTCTTTGGCCAAATGGCATCTCTCATATCTCTGTAGAATCCCAAAGTGTTAATAAACTATAGTCATCTCAAGCAGGAACAAGTTAATTGATTATTTTTTTTTTTGGCAGATGTGCATGATATGTTCCTTTCAAATAGGATGGGCTAGACCCTCTGCAAGTTTATACCTTTTAATCTTAGCTCCTTTTTATGTGATAACTCTATAGTTACAAGTTTCATTAAGATGTTTAGCAAACAGTTGCCAGGTAGCAGTGGACAACTGGTGTGTTCCATAAGTGAATTTTGAGTGAATTTTCTGATGCAGTTTTCCCCAAGTTATTCTCAATGGAGAACATCAACAGGAACATCATTTGAGTATGCTGCCTTTCATAATCACAGTGTGTCAGAATTTGATGCAGCTGGTGCCATTCAGCCCACAGCAAAGATACTCTGCAAATAGAAAGCACAACTTCATAGTTACACATTATAAAGCTAATACACACCTTTTGGTTTTCATCCCCATGTTATGTGGAGATCTCCTTCCTGCTTGTTCCATTTGTTCATTGCCATAAACACTGTCTGAATAGCATATGGTTAGTGAAGTTTCTCTAAAACCAAACATGCTTTTATTTTGGCTTCAGAGTGAAGAAGGGAGTTATGGAAGAACCAAAATATATTACATGGTATTTTTTTGTGTGGTTGTGGCCTTCACACCTCTTTTCTCCCTTCCCCTTTCTTTATGATTGCAGTGGAAGGGTGCAAACAGGCTGATGCTGTGGATGTTTACACTAATGTCTGATAGTTAAAAAGCAGTATATTCATGGAAGGGAAAAAAGACATTTCCACCACATACACGGGTCATATAGAGGTTTTTGAAATGTTTTCTAATCCAGGACTGGAAACATGACATGGCAACCGGTCTGAGTTAATACTAGGGGACCTTGCCAGCCAGAGCGGTTAAAACCGGAAGCGTTTCTGGTCCAACATGATGGATTCTGTTCCTGTGACTGTTGTCATTTCAGGAGGTGAGACTGGCCAAGCTTAAAAGGCTTATTGGGCCTTGTGTTTGGACTCCTCTTGGCAGGGCCCTGTTCTCATTGAACTAACTAGGCAACTATTACAGCAACATTTTACAAACTGAATGCAATTGTACAAACCAAGATTTTCCAAGTTTGTAGGGAAAAGTCACTTAAATGACTGTGTGACTGCCAAGCTATCAACAGGCTTTGTTAATTTTGAATAATTTTATGTGACTTTCAGATTATTAGTTATATAAATTAATAGGCAGTAATGTATTTTTGCCCACTGTCTCCTGGGCAGCATGCAACAGCCCCTTCTACTCTTCCTCAGGTTTTATTCTTTCATCCTAAAAATCTATCAACAACCAAAAAAGGAAAATATTTTCTTGCAATATCATATCTTTCATTTCTCTATGATTTGCAGGCCAAACCTATTTACCCTGTAAGTACAAGAACACTTTAACTTGATGCTCTGCCAGCTCATGCAGAAATTCAGAATTGAAACTGGGTCTCTCAGATGAGCACAAAGATGTGAGTTAATGACAAATATGCACATTCATCTGTATAGTGCACACCACATGGAGCTGGAAAAATACTGAATGATGGAGCTTTGTAAAAAGCCTGAACCACTCGATTATGTGTTTGTTGCAGTTTTGTTTCTCATGAGGATGTTGAATCTGAAGGTGCTGTTTCTCTTGTTGTGCTTTAGGTGCACTAGCAGTTCTGATCCCTCGCCTAGACCTGGTGATTTCTTTCGTTGGAGCCGTCAGCAGCAGCACTCTGGGACTGATTCTGCCACCTCTAGTTGAAATCCTCACTTTCTACAAGGAAAACTTAAGTTTATGGACAATATTTAAAGATGTGTTTATAGCTGTTGTTGGATTTGTTGGATTTTTAACGGGGACGTATGTGACGGTTGAAGAAATCATTTATCCGGCATCCACAGTTCTTGCTAATGCAACAGGAAGCTTTCCTGCAGATTTAAATGCTACAGACTTTGTGGTTGGGTTAAAGTAATTAACCAGGCACTGTGAACTATTTTGTTCCTTAACAAGAAATTCTTGACTCAGGACCTGTTTTCAACTACTGGTACTGTGTAAAGAGGTACAATTTGTAAGAGATGTAGGATATACATGTGAAAATACATTATTTTTTTAGAAAGTAATTATATATCTCTTCTGGAATTTGAATGAAAAGTTACAAGATTTTGTTTTGTTCATCAAAGCAATATTACTTTCATGCAAAAACATTCAACATCACACATCATAAGCAATTTATTTTTGTATGTTTTGGTAACTGTTACCCTGACCCATTTTTTACACAGTTTCCTTATCCTTGATTTCAACTATACAAAAGTATGAAATACTGTATTTTTAATTATCTGTGGCTAGAAGTCTGTAGACTACATATCTATATTTCTATTGGAACATATAATAATTATTTTTGCATTCTTATGTTCTGCCTTATGTAGTACCTAACATGCCCTTTACATATTTTTGCTTCTTTTGTCTATTTTGGAAGAAAAAACCAATAAGTTCATAGGTTGGTATCTGGGTAGAAATTAGTTTTGTTTAGCAAGCCTGCATGCTGAATCCCCATGTACAATCCTGATTTTCAGGGTTCATATTTGACTGCCTCAAATTGCATAGATTACTTCCACTCCAAATGTTGAAGCACTATTTTTGGTCTTGTTTTCTAAAAACCCTATAGTTTGTGCAATAACATAATGATTTATCATACTCATCCATGTTATAAAGAAAGAAATTTTTCTAAGGAATATTTTTAATCATAACATTCCGCCAAGAAATATGTTATGCCAAAACCTTTCCACTGTAGTCATACAAATTAAGATAGAAATATATGTAATATTTTGCCTGCCTTCAGTATATTCCTCAGAAATCTACCATTTGGAAATCTACCATTTGGCATTACAGTGCTAGAGTAATATACTGCTAAATATATCTATATTTATATTTTCTCTTAAGACTATTTTCACAGTCATCTACCATCTGGTGACTGTAATGAGCACTTTTATCTCCATGTTGATGAGGGCATTTCTGATAGGGATTTGTTATAGCATGTAGTTTAAACTGCATGTATTTGTTCAAGCAATAGTTCTGAGTAATGCTCTAATTTTGATTTTAGCATGGACAAAGCTAAATATTTGTCAGGCACTTGGAAGGGATGAATCTCTGCCTGTGTGATACCACAGACTTAACCTTTCTTATGGAAGTGACACAGTGGAGCAAACACAGGTAGTTAGCAGAGAAGAAAAAGGTAACTTCAGCTTTTCATCTTGAAGCTTTTTTAGTCTTTAAGCTGTTTTAAAAGACATTAAATCTCAGTGTTTCCATCTGTTTCATAGTGAATCTGTTGCTTACCTAACCCATACACTACACAGCAATAGAATATATTTCTGTGCAGCATATTTTACTTGAAATAATTCTGCAAGAAACATCTTTAGTTGGACTGAGAGGATTTAAATGCAAGTTACTTTTCCTCTTGGTTTTTCATCTTTCTACTGGTGTATTGGGAGAAAAAAAGACTTTGAAGTCCATTCATATCTGTTCTGCTTCAGTTGTGTCCTGGTGAGCAGCTCTGAGAAGATGCTTCTACCAGGGTGCAGGACTTGTCCAGTTCAGAGTTTGGTGGTGATTTTGTCAGGTGCAAGTGAGTACTGCCACGGCTCTATAAATGAATATTTACTGAGCTGTGTACCTACAGCTACAGAGGTGGCCCTGGTTACCTATTGAATGTAACATATCCTTCTCAAAGTCATATAACTTATTCAGAAGCTTGATAGGTTTGAAGGTTCTAGTCTTAGCCTCCAGACCATGGAAAGGCTGGCCTGAATACAAAGCCATATATATCTTCCTGCTCTGTCTGACTGCAGTGCCACTTGTCAAGGCACAGGTCTCCAGAGCAGTGAGTGGCCACCGACTGACCAGGTATGAAGTAGTGTTTTTATGCAGTTGGCCATTGTCGCCAAGTCTAACAATGTTGTATCTTTTGAATCTTTAAAATGTTTATTAATATATTTTGCACAATGTCAATTTTCTCCTACAGTGTAGGATTTGTATAATTTTAACACTCATACAACGCATTTGCATGGCCTGCTCTTTCTGACAGAAGGAGTCAGGAATCAGAGTGTCCTGCTTTGGATAAGATTGAAATGTCATATGGTAAAAAACTAAGTCCGACTAAGGAGAGTGTCCTGTGAAGCATTGCCAAAGACTTAAAAGAGAGGAAATTCTGACAGAAGCCTCTTCTGCATAAGAGTGTTCATTCGGCTTTTAAAGTGCTGTAATATTAGTTTCAAGTTAAGAGGCAGGGAGTGAAACTGAGAGATTTCATAGGTATGGTTTACATTAAGGTATATATTTAAGATGGAACTGTACTTTAGCACAAGCTAAATTAAACTGCAAAATGTGTGTGATTAGCTTATGTTCCTGACAAGGAGCAGAAAGCTATTGTATTTATATACTGTACAAGAACTTATATTTTACAATATAATATTGTTAATAGTTTTAATGTAATTTAATCATTAGCTGCACTACAGGTAACTGGATAATTTTCTTGTCTGTAACTGTTCATCCTCAAGTATTGGGCAAATAAGAGGATGGGTTTGCCTGATATTCTGTAAAACTTTTATCTTCTGTATCAATAAAACTACAACTTACCCTGCAAACTCGGTGTTATCCTGCCTGTCACCACTACTGCATCACTAGAAGAAATAGCTGTCCTAATGCAGAATTTAACTTTGAAGTTGTCCAGGGAATGGTGACTGACATGAGACTCGCAGGCAAACTTCAGAGCTGATTTTTCATTGATAGTAAATCTCATTTTAAAGTCACTTAGGCACTCCTGAAAAATCCTACCTCCCACTCCAAGGGTTTTCATGAGGGCACAGTTAAGGTCAGGTTTCTGCATCTTTTTGGAGGTGCTGTAGTAAATAAAGAAATCTATAAATGTAAAAAGTGATGCAGGTGTACCCACTGAAATTCCAGTTGCTATTTAGAAAACCACGAAGAAAAATCCAGACATTTTAAAATTGGACAAGCCTATATACATTTGCTCTGGACTTGGCCTTATCTGTAAGGATGGAATGTCTCAACATGTTGACAGAGAAGGGAAAGTGAACTTAAAAAACTTTTGATTAGAAGTGAGGATTGAGATTAGTCGATGGACAGCCTAAGAGATTCCACTTAGTTCATCTCAGGGAGAGTGGAAGGTAAGAGGGACATAATGTAAATGTGATTATTTTATCAATTCTTTATTAAAATGTTTCCAGATGAAGGACTAGAAAAGCTGTGTACATGACTCACTACCATTCTATAATTGCTGGAATGTATTATGAGCCTTGTCAGACCTCCTGTTCTCGTGCTTTGATTTATTTGGTTCTGTATGGATTAATCAGTATTTCTGCTGCTTCCAGATTTCTAAAGTGTGAAAGTATTCTCTGGTAGAAAACAAGCAATACAGCTAACATCTGTTGAAGTTCATTTTTCATATTCTGTCCATGGGAGAAACCACTGCAACATCTTGATGGGGTTTCAGGAAGGAAGAAGAACCTTCTCCATGGTTTTGTCTGTTATCTACAGATGTTTTGGTCATCCTGGACTATCTTAACATGACACGAGAAGTCTGACACTTGCCCACAGTTAGATGAGTTACCCTTCAGACTCCCACATGGTTCTCATTAGTGTAATGTAGTTCTGTGAGCTGACTACACCTCTGGACATACGTACTGAGACTGGTCTAAATATTATTTTGTACTTAATATTAATAGCTCAGTGGTTCCATCTCCAAGATCTAGAATGCTTAGATGAGTAGCATCTGATAGCAGTAATTTTTTTACTCTTAGTTTAATTTTTTTTTTCCTAAAATGTTTTTATTAGCAATCAAGAATTGATCTCAATTTCCACTTCCATAGATTCACTCCAAGCAGACAGCAGCTGGGGTGTAGAAAGCAGCATCTAAGTAGACATTCAGTTTGAGTTCAGCAGAAGTTTCTCTGCATGCAAAGGGAGGTGCCTCTCAAATTACAGAAAAAGGATCTGCAAAGTTATATGGCAAAGCACTCATCTCCACAGACACAAAGGAACACAGAGGAACAACTGAGTGGATGAACCCCTCTTCAAATTAATTCACTTTGTTTTCCGTTCTTACAGGATAAGGGTTGATTTCAAAGGAGCAAGTTTCACAGGTTGCACCAAATGATTAGGAACCTGGCTTGTAGCACTGCAAGGAAAGGGAACAGGTGCCACTGGTGTGACTAAAGACCAATCTCTGTCAACTCAAAGGAATGGGGGAACCAAAATATCCTTATCACAGAAACGGAGTGCTCACCCAACTTCTAGGGTTTTCACAGCACAGCAATCAGTCCATGGTCCAGGTGAGAAAATCACCAAAGAGGGTTGACTGGGGAGTATCTCTCAGGATCACTGCATAAACCGAGAGTGTTACTGCTTAAAGGGGCAAGGAACATATGGGAAGTGTGTTTTGGATATGTACAGGACTTGTAAAAGAAATTTGAAGTAGCAACCAAAAGTGGGAGGAGAGATGAATCAAAGTGTATTGGGAAAAATGGAATTTTAAGGTTCTGTGTCAATCTCATGTGAGCCAGGAATGATCAGTACAGGTGTCAGTCTGTCCATGTCCTGTGCCTGACTGGAGCAGTCTCTCTTGCCTTCTCACTAAACTAGGACTCAATCCAGCTGTGCCTGGGCTCCTCTCTGAGAAGGAGCTTAGAAAGCAAGGAGATCCTTTCTGCACCTTGTGACTCCATGGGAGGGCTTCTTTAGTAAACTTGGCTGAAGCTTCTGCTCCCACACATGACAATGTCCCAACACCTCCCCTGGAGGGGATTTTCCACACCAGAGCCAGTTGTGTAAGGGAGAACATTGGCATGATAAAAAGCAATATCCCACCTTGCAGGACCCGCTTGTTATTGGCCTCTTCCCTTACCTGGCTGAAGCCCCAGCTTGGGGTGTGTGTACACATGGTCATGTGCTTATCAGGAATATGTGCTCAGCCTCACTGTGCGCTGGACATGGAGCCATGGCAACCTCGCCTCCTTCCTGCTACCAGCTTTGGCAGCTCCTAACAGACTCCCCTCATATTTCCTGAGAAAACTAGTTTCTCTGGGCCTCAGCATCATTGCCTTGTACTGCTGAGCTTTGGCCTTTCTGTTATTTTGCAGGTAAAAGGTGCATGTGTCCCCCAGCACTCCTTTTCCTTAGGTAATAGTTTCATTAGTGGTTTTTGAACAGCTCAATTGCTTCTTAAAATTTGTGGATGTGGCATTTTGTGAAGTGTTTTTCATGATGTCTCTGGATAATGTATGCTGTACAATATTTGTCTCTTGACCTGATGGATTTATTTGACTTTGAATGAGTGAGCACAAACTACTGAAGCCAGTGAAGTCCTTTCAGTTTTGTTCCTACATATGCACTCAGAAACAAAGTTTTATTTGGGAACATTACCATTCGTATCTTAGGGAGAATTGATTGTTCTATATTTTAGTT